TCAGGGGGTTTTTCTGTGTGTATAGATGCCAGTGTGTGTGTGTGTGTGGAAGGCCCGATTTTGTTCACCCCCTTTGAAGTTTAATAACTCCTGTGTTTTTTGTCAAAAACTTTTGAAATTTTGCAGGGAGTTTTATATATTAGGGGATAAATGCTATTCAAAGCTTTTGACCCGAAAGGTGTTAGAAAAATGACCGACACGACTCTATTGTTAAAGGGAAAATATGATGTACAGTATAGGGGCAAGGCATTACTAATTTGAGGTGGAGAGAATATATTTTAAATTAAATAAATTAAAAATATTAAAAATTGCAGCCCGGCATTGTGACTATATCATAATAAAATATACCGATTTTATAATAATTAAAAATATAAAAAGATTTTAATAATAGACAATCAAAGCTTTCTGGAGAGCGAATGATAAAAATAGTTGATGATAAAATTATTATTGATGGAACGAAGTACTTTTACGATGTTGACTGTCACCAGGTTAAGCCTGTTTCGTCCTAGCAATTGTCGAATAGGGGTGGTACTTTTTTAATTTGGAATTGTGCTGGTTTATTTAATAAACCTGAGTTTTTTTGGAAGTATTTATTGCGGAATGATATTACTTTTCTTTCTGAGACTTGGTATGGTTGTACTAATAGAAATTCGGACTTAGCTGATAGTTTGCAAGGTTATAATCTCCATTTTGGAAAAGCCTTTAAGTTACACGCGAAAGGTCGTTATTGTGCAGGATGGTTATTAGCAATAAGATCCTCTTTTCCTTGTGTGGTTGTTTATCAAGACGACTTTTTAATACTTGTTAAATTTGGTGCCGAACTTGGTAATATTTTGGCATGTTTTGTTTATTTTAGGGAAAATGACTGGCAGTTTATTTTCGATACGTTAACTGGATTGATATTAGATAATAATAGGAATGTATTGATTGCCGGTGATTTTAATTTTAGGATTGGATTGGAGAATACAGTAGACTTCCCTATAACACTGTTGATAATTCCGTATTATACGAATTCCATGTTGTACGAGTCACTTAGATTTTACAAATACGTGTGCCGGGCTGTGAACGGCTCACGTACAGTATTTGTAAAATCTAAGTGACTCGTACAACACGGAATTCGTATAATACGGAAGTATCAACAATGTTATAGGGGGATTTACTGTATAATTTCTGATGCATTTTGCAATTATTTTGGAATTGTTTGTCTTATGTATAGGAATTCGAAAGACTTGGTGATTGATTCTTGTGGTAGGAAGTTGCTTCATTTATGTATAGATTTAAATATGATTATTGTTAATGGAAGACGTTTAGGTGATGAAGTGGGTGAATATTCTTTTATCTTTAATTGTAGTTGTTCTGTTATTGATTTGGTCATAGTTTCTCCGTTAATTTGGAAAGATGTGCTCTCTGTTACGATGGACCAGTTTTTGGATTCCGATCCTTTGATTTTATGATTGGTCCGTGGCAATGATACATCGGTTTCTTTATAGAAGAGGCAGAGGATTAATAGATTGTTTTGGAACGAATCTAGAAAAGATGAATTAAGGTTGGTTATGGAAGAAATATGTGTGTCGAATAAGTTTAATTCGATGGAAGACCCGAGTAATTGTCTTTTTAGCTTGGTTTGTAAGTGGGGATTTAATATCAGGAGATATAAGAATTCTTTTTCGTGGTCTGATTCTGACTGTAGGATGTTAATTAACGCTAGGAATAGAGCCTGGAGGTCATTTAGGAAGATCAATGATTCTAATAATCGTATGCGTTTTATTATGTTGCGAAGTTTGATGAAGCGGTTTTGCATCGCGAAAAAAAATTATTTGCTGGTAAAATTCAGAATTGTTTTAGGAAAGATAATAGACCTTTTTGGAATTATTTCCGACATGTTAAGCAGGCTGACTTGTAATTTTGGCTCTATTCCTATTGATGATTGGTTTCATCACTTTTTTAATTTATTTGGTTCCTTGGACCCTTATTTTGCGAATATTTAGATTTTTAATTATTGTAGGAATTGGTATGATAAACTTTTGGACCATGAATTTTCTATAAGTGAGCTTGATGAAGCTTTGAGAAGATATAAATCAAATAAAGCCCCAGGTTTTGACGGGATCCCAATGGAATTCTGGAATTTTGAGACGTTGAGACCCCACCACATCTTTTGACTTTTTCCTCAAAGATTTTTGATACTGGGATAATACCGGAGTCTTGGAAGACGAGTATTTTAATTCCGATTTAATGGTAGGAAGGATGCTCCTGGTAATTATAGAGGTATCTGGTTATCATCTTGTGTTTCGAAATTGTTTTGTATTATTTTGTATAGAAGACTGACTCGATGGTTAGACGTTAAAAATATATTACATGAAAATCAGGCAGGATTCCGGGCTAGTTATTCCACATTGGATAATATTTTTGTTTTGTATACGGTTATTCAGAAAACCTTTTTTACGGAAACGTAAGAAGGTGTATGCATTTTTTGTTGATTTATCTTCAGAGTTTGTAGGAATTTGTTGTGGTTAAAGATGTTGCGTTATGGTTTCAGTTATAAATTTGTATCTTTACTCGTTGCTTTGTATGAAAACTCCTCGCTTATGGTGAGAACTGGAGGTTTTTAGTAGTAGTCTGTTGTCGAATTAACATCTTGGCAAGGAATTTAAGCTTCTGATTCATCTAACTCGTTGTTGAGCTCGGGTTTGATTTTTAAGACTGATTTCAGAGTGATGCGAGTAGGACCACTATTGGATCGTTCATCTATTGAAAGATCTTCAATAGTATGACTACGGAAAACTAGATCTATGAATTAACTTAGTTACCTGTCTCAATCTGGCCAATTAAAAATTAAAAAAATGTTCGAAACGTCTATAGGTTTACTTTTTGATTTCCCATTTTATACAAAAAGAAGATAAACACTGTCCCTCTCTTATTCCTTTTTTAATCTGAATCCATTTCTTTTGACTTTTATAGATGTTGTAGATTATTCTCATTATCAATACCTATTTTTGCAGAATCTCAAACATCAGCGTTTGACTAACACTATCAAAGGCCTTCTCGAAGTCGATAAAACACACAAAATACTCTCTATTATGATCAATCATCCTTTCTTCCGTAAGTCGTATTGTATCATTGTAATGTCCTCCCTTGTCCCTCTGCCTCTTCAAAAACCAAATTGTGACTCATCTAGTTCCCGATTTGTGTAGTTTTCTATTCTTTTCTGTATGATGTTAACTAAAACTTTTGAAGAATGGCTTATCAAACTAATAGTTCTGTGTTTATCACGATCCCGCAGTTTTAGAAACAGGGATGAAGATTGATTTTGTAAAATCATCCGGAATATCTTGCCTCTAAAATTTTGTTTAAAAAATTAGTTACAATTCTTGTTCCATCTTCTCTCACAGTTTTAAAGAGTTCTACTTATATTTCATCTATTCCTAGTGCCTTTCTGTCCTTCAGCTTTTTCAATACAGCATCAATCTCTTCCTTAAGAAACTTTGCATCCTCTTCTTTCGCCTTCATCCTTTTAAGTTTAAACTGTCCAAATTTCCGTAGAGATTGTCTACGTATTTTTTCCATCTTAGCGCTTGTTCATCTTTCTGCAATAAAATGTTTCCATTTTCATCTTTCAGTGCCCCAATTCTTCATTTTCTTTTTTTTCCCTTCGAGATTAAGAGTAGTTTTTCATATACTCCTCTTAAATCGTTCCCATTTGCGTGGTGCTCTATTTCCAGACATAATTAATTTAACCACTTTTCCTTTGCCTGTTTGCACATTATTCTTATTTGTTTATTAATCCCGGAGCTCTCCGCGTAGCCAATCTTCTTTCACGCTGTTGGAACCAGGTGTTAGTTACAATCATGCTGGTTCTTCTGCAAAATTCAAAAGTTTACTTCCTCTTTCGTTTCTTTCTTCTAATTCCCATGGTCTTATGTATTAAAGAATAGAAAAATATATCAAAATTAAATAATAATAACATATTTATTATTAGAAGTTATATATTTCTTCTAAACGCCTTTTAACAGCGTCAAAGAATAAAATCAACTTTCTCAATTTATTCACTTTATTTGTATTAAAAAAAAAAAGTTATTATTAAAGAGTAAAACACGAATTAGAATTATAACTTTTAGTGTTTTTACAGAAATTTCAAAAGATTTTAATAATAGACAATCAAAGCTTTCTGGAGAGCGAATGATANATTAAAACTTTATCACGAAAAAGGATATTTTAAAAAATTACTTCTACAGACACTTTCAATTTTTACTTAGAAATAAATAAATTTATCTATTATAAAGGAGACAGACAAAAACTGACTTGAAAAACACAAATAATTGGTCTCTAATTAATAAAATACGACGAAACACCATTTTAAAGTGCATTTTTATTCGACTAATATATTTATAAATAATATGTAGCCCAGAAAGTACCCAATGCGCAAAATAATAATTTTTACGCCAAACTAAAAAAAAGGTAGCCAAATTTGTCGTCAAAAAAGTAGCCAAATCTTGCAATGCTGGAAAGAATACTAAATAATGCTGAAGATGGAACTCAAAGGATTATAGACCCAAATTTGAGATAAGGAGAGAAAGGCCAAAAGATAAAAGTAGTGAGAAAGGTTGGAAAATTAAGCTGAATATTTCATAACAGAAGGTCTATTTAACCTTCCTCACTACTTTTTATCTTTTGGTCTTTCTCTCCTTTTTTCAAATTTGGGTTTATAATCCTTTGAGTCACAACTTCAGCTTTATTTAGTATTCCNTATAAATTAGAAAAATTAAATCGACTTTTACTTGAAGATTTTAGGTAAAAAAAAAAAAAAATAGATTAATCAACCATCAAAATACATTTACGTATGCTACTTAATAAATCCACTAATTATAAACGGAAGATCAATAATATCATTTTTCTTTCGTGTTTTAAACCGTTTCTCAATTAATAATTCGATTTATATTGAAGCCATTAAGTACTATAACCTCTTGATTACATTTATAACAAATAATTTAAATTGATTTTATTTATTACAAAATAGAAAATATTTAAGTGTACAATATTAACACGAACATGTATAAAAATTATGATAGATGTTTAATTAGAGAAAGACAATATTCAGCTATGGATTCTCTGTTTAACAGCTCTGTTCTTGATTCTTGTAAGTATGCATTCAACTGAAATAATAATAATAATTAAAAAATGTAGATCTATTTTTGACTTAAATATAATTATTTTCAAATTAATTAAAAAGATGTTTTTAATATCTGAAATTAAATAGTTGGCACGTCCTTTCGCTGCGTTATATTTAATTTTACGCTAATACAATTCCATTATATTCAGAATTATTTTTTAAACTATCAACCATTTAAGTAATTGTCATTCACTTACTATATCTGTTTGGTCCATACAATCGATGAACTGTAATATATATAATTAGAATTTATCATTAAGTATATAGAATTTATACTCTATAGTTCTATTAAAAACTTACACTGTTAACATTTAATCTTCCTTTACATCCTCCCAGTTTTTCAAGCGAACCGACTGCGGAGTTAAAACCGTAATATTTTTCAATACACGTATCGGCATTATCTATATACTGAATAATGGTTATATTATTAATTTTTTGACGTAATAAAACATTAGAAAAGGCAAGTAAATATATTCGAAACGGTTAAAATTAAGGAAAATTCGTTCTAATTTAGCATCAACCTCTCGTAACTCGAGCGTTAAATATGAAATTTTAATATTCAAAATATAGTACAAGTCGACCCCCCCCTATAACACTGTTAATAATTCCGTTTTATATGAATTCCATGTTGTACGAGTCACTTAGATTTTACAAATACGTGAGCCATTTACAGCCCGGCACACGTATTTGTAAAATCTAAGTGACTCGTACAACATGGAATTCATATAAAACGGAATTATCAACAGTGTTANGTTTATAATCCTTTGAGTCACAACTTCAGCTTTATTTAGTATTCCTTCACCATTTACACATATCCAAGTATTTAAAAATATTTCTTTTCACTCAAAAATAAAATATGTATAAAAGTTTACGGCTTTGTGAAACTTCTTTTTTGAGTTTATGCCGTCGAAATAAATAAATAAAACAAAAGTAAAACAATTTCTCGATTTTGTTTACACGTTTATTGGGCCAGATTGGAACTTGCCTTGGGCCGCATGCGGCCCGCGGGCCGCAGGTTGGACACCCCCGGATTAGACAATCTTCAGGTGAATAGGCATTCGAAAGTATTTCAAAATTGTAAGCAAAGGAACGTCCGATTATTATACATTCAAATTTAAACGAAAAAATAGACAAATTAACAAATAGATAGCAAAATAAAATATGCTAAATACAATAAAGCAACAATGATATAAATAACAAAACAAAATAAAAATAAATACATAAAATTGCAGGGAAATATAATTGTATGTACGGATAAAGAATTTTTATATTTTAATTTTTCTATAATGTATAATTTCCATGCAGAAGCTAATCCAACCGCATCCCGCGCATTAAGACAACCATCCCTTAATTAACTTTTATAGATTTCAATTTTTTCTTCTCACAATGCTAATAATAAGAACCGCACGGTCTTGAGGATAGTTGCTTCACTTCATTCAACTACAGAGTTTTCCGCTTGTGCCATACTAGACAAACTGTGTTGCAGTGCTCTTTATTAAAGTCATACTTGTGTTCCTTAAGTCTAACAGCTAACTTTCCTCTCGTGACTCCAATGTAGTTCTTCTTAATTCCTAATATCTGATTTTCAAATGGATTTCTATGTATGCCCGCTTTTTTTCTTTTTTAATCAGGTGTTTGTCATTTCTGAGCATATTATACAGTACCCATTCTGAATCCATTAATAATGTGTTTCTACAAATTGCGTAGAACTAGTTCACGTAATAATCCTGACAGCAAGCTTCCCATAGGTACTTCTCTCTTCTGTCTTTATGCCTGTTTATCGAAACTGAAGAAAGTCTCGGCATACCAATTTGGCTAATTCCATCATATTATTTGCAAATGCACCAACTTCCGATTTTATGTGGAACATAAATTTCATTAAAGCTTCATAACAGCATTCTATTTCGATAGATTGATATCGGTCTTCAAAATCCATAATGAATTTCATCCGAAATGAATCTATGTAAACATTTTTGCGGAATGTATGTGGGTCCTCTGCATTTCTCAACTTAGGTCTGGCCTCTTTTCCTTCCTTGTGTATTTTTGCCAATGGAAATAATCTTGGCATTTCTGGCTTCCGGTTATGAGACCGTTTAAGGAAAGTTTTGATTTATGAAACCAAGTAGACATCCCAACTGACATTAAAAAAATTCTCTGAAAAGGTCCGGAAAACGAAACATATGGCAAACTGTAATGGCGGAACTATAGAGAGAAATCTCAAAATTCAATTAGTTAAAAAGGGATACTTTTAGATGAGAGACTGCTCTTAAAGTTCACATCCTCGGAACAAAAAATACTGAAAAAAAAACAGCTGAAACGCACAAAACAATAGTTGAATGACAATGAGTTTGTTGTAAAAGGAGCTGACAAAAGTAAGCACTTAGTTATCATGGAAAGATCACATATTTAGAACGGAATGTGAGCAAGTCAATGAAAAAATTGTTACAAACGTAGAGAAAATAATAAAAAACTTGAAAGAGCACCATTAAGCTCCATGTTAACTTTCCTTAAATGATCTCACATCTTGAAGCCGAAGATGCCAAGATTATTTACATTTGCAAAAATACAAAAGTAAGGCAAAGAGATCAAATTTAAGTTGTGCGTGTTGCATTTGAATTATTTGACTGAAAGTTATTTTTTCGTATTAATATGTGAATTATAGACAGTTCTATTGAATTAACGAATTTTAAACGATATAAATCCGAATAACCTCAGAGTTAAGCTTTCCCTCACATCCCTTTTCAACTGATTAAAAAACCCTCTCATTGATTCGTGTTGAAATTAAAAATTTAAGACTTCGGGAAGAATAACAAGAAAAAGTATAAAATTAAAATTCAATTGTAATCAAATAAAAAAGTCCTGAATTATAATGGAATTTTATAACATTTTTCAGATATTTAGCTAAAATTTTACAATTACGACATCGCATCTCGTAATTAAAGTTAATTTTTAAGATATGCCCACGAAAAAATTGAATCTTTAACGTTCTAAAATTCTGTTCTATAGAGAAAAATCATTCCTAATTTTTGTAAAACAAATATTCTAAAATAAATTATACAAATAGTTCATTTTTATTGTGTTATTGTCGGAAAAAATTTTAGAATAATTTTGTAATTTTATAAAATCTTGTTTTAACACCTAGTGTCTGTAAACCTGCTGATGAAAGACTTAAGGTTTGAAACACAAGCAGAGTGTGTAAAGGTGAAATACCAAGTAAACAATTAAGATTGCTCTTTCTGAAAAAGTTTCCTTAATTCGCAGAAACCGGACACCGGTTCAATATACCCTGCTAATACGATTTGTCTTAGTAGCCATTTACATAATATATTGTAAATAATAAATACACAAAGGCGTATGAATTAATTTCCTTTGTAACATTTAATAAGTTTGTCTGAATAAAAGTAATTAAATTGATACAGATTCTATACTGTTAGAAATTTCTAATCTTAAAAGCAATATTCTATAAATTTATGTGAAAAGTAAGAGCAAGTCTCATGCTCATTTATGATACAAGCAAACGAATACCCTTGTTTGGTTTCTTAATTAGTTTGAGTCGACAAATTACGTTAATATCATTAAATAAGATCCTTGTTTGTATTCGATTTAGAAACACTCTGATAAAATATGCTAAAAGCTTAGTCAATAAAACTAAAGTGCTGCTTAAAATAACATATACTGTATTTAAGGACATAGGTGAACTCACGAACTTTATAATTTCATATTGTAATTTCTAAAATATTTTAAGCCTATTTATGTATGATATAATTTTAATTCAGATATATATCATATATTCTGGTATTAATACTGTTAAATTTTGCATGTTAAAGATGAAGAAAGAAATATATAAGGGATTATATGTCATCCATTTAGTAATGATATGAAACTNAAAAAAAAAAAAAAAAAAAAAAAAAAAAACACGGTGATACACTGAATAATAAGAACTTTTTCCTGTTTTTAATAATATTAAATAAATTATTTTCAAATGAAATTTTATAATAGGTAGTGTCACACAAAATTATCAATGAGAAACCACGTAAAGTTTTCCGAGTTTTCTCTACGTTTGTAACACATTAGTAACATTTTGAGCATTTCAATCCTACGCAAGGACATTTAATCTCACTCGGAAATATTTACTAACCGTTAGGAACGTTTTCAATACGTACCACAACAGGCCATTTTCAGTTTTTTTAAAAATCACAACATGCTGATATTCTTCTTTGTACAGAACAGATAAAAACGCATTAAAAACACAAAATTCTTCATAACTTCTTCACTATTATATGAACATTATAAAAAACATATACATTAGTCTATTATGGAACGATCAGTTAAAAACAATGACTTTACTAGTAAAAGTTAGCATAGACAAAATAAGTTGACTGAAATAGTTAGAATTCTATCAGTGGGAAGAGTAAGGAATAGATATAATGAATTCGGAATAGCAAAATAACCAGACTATAGTCAGATTTCTGCAATACTGTACCCAGCCCAGCAGTAATAATTACAAAGTTGCGTGTAGCGCGAATTATTATGAAATTTCATTAAAAAATAGTTTTTATATATTTAGTATAAAAAGGCAAAAATGTTAATGTTCGGCGCATCGGCGCAGAAGAGTTAAAAAGCAAATTGTGAAAGCTAAAAGCGTTTAAAATTTTCACTTCCTTCCTGAAGGTATCACAAGTTATTCCTCTAATTTTTCATTTCCTAACCTTTAACCTTTAATGCTGTTAAAGGTGACATGCATCTGAATTAAAATTCAGTAATATTGTAAATAATCATAATAAGGAAAATAAGAAAAATTTAAATATATTAAATTATAAATTTCTGAAGTTCGGCATTGCACATTAATATAGTAATGTTATTATAATATGAAAATGAAAACAAACGCAAATGCTATAATATGCGAATGAAAATGGTTATAATGTTCAGCTGTAATGATTTCCCATGTACTTAGATTTAACGATATAATAAAAGCTTATAATGAAGCATTTCCTTTTAACCAGCAGTTAACGTTTATTGACTATGCTTTTAACATATTTATTCAGAGTGATTCTAAATTGAATACAAACAAAGAACTTATTTAACGATATTATCGAAGTAAGTCAACATAAACGAATTGAGCTATTAAAGAAGAGTATTTATTCGCTAGTGTCATAGATGAGCGTGAGACTTGCGCTTACTTTTCACATAAATTTATAGAATATTGGTTCTAAGGTTAGAAATTCCTAAAACTTTCGGCAAAATGAATTCGAATATGGAAGACGGATGCTGCATGACTTGTTTCTTTAGGCCCTGTTGGACAACTGCTTTAATTTACGGATTAGACTACTTTCAGATGTGTTCCTGCAAACAGCCAACTTATCTACTTAAGACTGAGAAATTAATAAAGATCTATACTCGGTTTGTTCAGTTTATATTATGGCAACATACTATAATTTTGCTGTGGCAAAATATACCTGGTGTAAAGAAATATGCATTGTGTCGCGGATTCACTGAACTATTCGGGACTGATTCTCAAATAATGAACATTTCAAATTTAATCTTATTCATGATTTACACAATCA